CAGGCCACTCATTAATTGCTCTAATCTTTTCACGGTCGGTCAAAATTCCTCGAGATGAAATTATGAATCCGAGAAAGGTAACACTATCAGTGAGAAACACACATTTCTGAGGGTTTGCATACAACTGTTCTTTTCTTAAAATCTCACAGACTTGCATCAGATGTTTCAAATGTTGGTATATCGAGTTACTATAGATCAATATATCATCAAAGTATACGACGACAAATTTTCTTAGGAAAGGTCGAAGGACTTGGGTCATAATTCGCATGAAGGTGCTAGGAGCGTTACTAAGACCAAATGGCATAACCATCCACTCATACAACCCATCTTTTGTCTTAAAGGCCGTTTTCCATTCATCCCCAGGGCGGATTCTGATTTGATGGTACCCGCTTTTAAGATCAACTTTTGAGAACAGCGTCGCCCCAGTCATCATGTCTAACATGTCGTCTAATCGTGGGATCGGAAAACGATATTTCACAGTAATCTTGTTGATAGCACGACTATCAATACACATCCTCCAAGAGCCGTCCTTCTTTGGAGTTAAAAGGGCAGGAACTGCACACGGGCTAAGGCTCTCTTTGATAAATCTGCGCTATAGGAGTTCATCTACTTGCCTTTTTAGTTCAGTGTGCTCCGTTGGGTTCATCCGGTAGTGGGGGAGGTTCGGTAGGGAGGTTTCAGGTACTAAGTCAATGACATGTTGGATGTCCCTAAGGGGTGGGAGTTGGTCAGGTAAGTCTTCCGGAAAGACATCAGCAAAAGCTTCTAAAAGAGGCTTAATCTCTTCAGGGACAGGCTCCTTTTGATCATCATTAACTTCCCAAGCTACCAAGGCGTACATAGGGGATCCTAGGTTAAATTCTATATCCAGTTCTTTAGTAGTCATAAGGTGTAGGCCCTTATTGGTTTTAGGGGTAGCGGGATTATCTTCACTCTTACCATTCTTAGGTTGGGAGGGAATAAGTTTGATCTTTTTACCGTTATGTTCAAATACGCAGGTATTTGTCCTCCCGTAGATGTGGACATCATTGTCAAAAAGCCACGGGCGACCAAAAATAATTTGGCCCACATCCATCGTCAGTACGCCACACCAGGTTTTCTCTTGATATCCAATAAAGTCTGGGATAAGGCTCCTATCTTTTATCTCCATGGAGGTTGAATTAATCCAGGCAACCTTATACGGGTTTGGGTGAGGTGTGGCTTTAAGGTTCAATTTAGAGATCATTGCTGAAGAGACAGCATTGATACAACTTCCACTATCAATAATAACATTACAATTCTTATCCCCAATCTTAGTAAAGGTATGAAAAATGACAGTCCTTCTCCAATCATCACTTGGTTTCGGCTGGGACAACGCGCATCTAACGACTTGAAGGGTGACATGTTCATCCTCAGTGAAAGAATATTCTTCTTCATCAACATGATGAACTAAGTCAGTCTCGGGCTCTTCCTCGTCGTCATCAACCTCTTCTATTATGGTGACCTTATAGGGACTGGAACATTGCGAGGCAATATGCCCATACCCATGACACCTATAACACTTGGTTCCAGAAGTGGGTTTGGAAGTGTCACGTTCGGGGGCTTTACCTTTAAGGTCCGTGCGAGGTAGGGCCGAACTAGCAGTGGGTCGGCTACCTATCGAGTTCGTGGGTCGGTTTTGGGGCTGGCTGTTGGAAGTTCGATACGGGTTTGGTCGGGAGTCAAACTGCCTAGTGTGGGAATGGGTCTTGGACTCCACTAGGTCAAATACTAGGTTGCAGGCTGCCTCTAAAGTATCTATTCCTCTAGCAAAAAGTTCAGTTCGAAGATCTTCCCTAAGGCCAGCTCTAAACATGGACAGGATTTGTGTTGGGGTAGTGGATTCTTCGCCATTGCAACAAATCAGGAAATCGTCGAAGGCGGAGATGTAGTCTTTAACGGGTTTGCTACCCTGGGTTAGTCTGTTCCACTTATCTAGGAGCTTAGGGTAGTAGGAAGGTGGAAGGTACTTTCTCCTAAGTTCTTGCTTCATAGTTCTCCAATCTGTAATAGGATGTTCGCCTCGAGCCTCACGCACGTCCAAATTGGTCCAGTATAGGTTGGCTCGACCAGTGAGCTTCATTTCGGCAAACCTAACTTTCCTAGCTTCCGAAATGTTATACCATTTAAAATAGCTATCCATCGATTTGAGCCAATCCAAGAAAACTTGAGGGGCAAGGGTTCCATTGTATGTCGGTGCGTCAATTCTAATGTTCTTTAGTAATTGAGCGTCGTTATCTCTCCAAGGGTTCTCGTTTTCTATGGGGTCTTGATGGAGTCTAGGGTTATGACGGTAATGGTCTCGAGGATGGTCATGATCAGTCCTGTTGTCATCGCCATAGGGTGAGTGTGGTCTTGAAGGTGTATAGATAGCGGGATTCCCAATACGCTCAATGTTATCTAGACAGTCACTCGTTTGGCGCCTAAAGTCTGCTAAATCAGTCTGGGTGTTGTGTATTTGTTGTGTCACCGTGCCGAGTTGCCCCACTATAAGATCTAGAGTCGCTGGCATGTGCTCCAGACCCATGGGTGAAGGTTAGGGGTTGCTAGGGGACGTACCGGGGTGGTGGGCAGCACCTAGACGCTAAGGTAAGACGCTCCTAATGCTTTTATATGTTGCTGGAATGCTGTGGACAGCAACCTACCACAACGAATTAAGTCGTCTAAGTGTTAGGGGCTGGTTTAGGAGGCTGGACAGCAACTTAAGACAGATTTAGGGTCACCTAAATGTCCCTAAACAGTGCAGGAAAAGTTCTGGACAGCAGTGTTTTCAAGTGTGGTAAGTGCCCTAAGTGGTTGGGTGAGATGCAATGGCGAAGACAGCACTTAGATGAAGAAAAATGCTTGTCTACTATTGATAAAAACATGCAGGAAATTACTGGACAGCACAATAAAACAGGGATTAAAACTATCTAAATGATGCTATGCATGCAAACACCTAAGGACAAGTTGAATTAAACTCCTAGGATGCATCTAGCACAAGTAAAGCATGCTAGCCATGCTCTGATACCAAAATAATGTGATGCTAAATGCGATAAACAAGAATTGCAATTAAGATATTAATATAAGTGATGAACTTTACTTTGCTACCAAAAACCCTTTGTTTGCTCAAGTTAAAGTTCTAAGAATATGGCGTTGAAAGATTAAGCAATAGCAATAGACTACACATGGAGATTACTAGAACTTGCAAAATAATAACCAAAAGTTTAGGTAATGCAAATAGCCAAATACAACAAAGCCTAAAATTTAAAATCTAGATCCTTCACCTTGAAGTCCTTCACTTCGTTCTTGAAAGTGGTGGTTAGCGGAAGAGGATCGTAAGTAAACTCAGCGATGCCACTAGTAGACAAGTGATACCGAGAGGGCTCGTCGTCAGGGAAGAAGCCAGAATTGGAGGAGCGGGTGGGTGGCCGTCGATGGTCCAATTGTAGTCTGGGCTTTGTCTGTCGATGACTTGCACGAGGGTGGGGAGGATCCGATCCAAGTAAGCTCCAACGGTGTCGTCGTCGAGGTCAAATCCCGCGTCGAAGAATGGCGATTGTAGGATGTTGAGATTACCGTGGGCGTCGAACACAAGTCCACATTCAAATTCGAGGTCCGCCATGCATGGTGGGATCTAGTAGGGAAGACAAAGAGGAAGGTGGGAGAGTGGGCCGTGAGCTAGGGAGAGAGGGGTCACGGGTTTGGGCTAGAGGGGATTCGGTTATGGTGGGGGTCAAGTGGTAGGGTGCAAGAATTCTGAATTAAATTCAGATTTTGGAGGTTTAATGGTGGGATTTAATTTGAAATTCAAATTAATCCAAGTAGGGGAGGGGCGGCAAAGAGAGGAGGGAGTTGGGGCTGATTTTGTGGAGCTATTAGGGTGATTAGGAGAGAGAGAGGAGCTCAATGAGGGGGCCGGCCAAATTAGAGAAGAGAGAGGTGGGGAGTTTTAGTAAAGTGGGGACCACAAGTTTAATTTCAGAATTTTATAAGTTTCAAAAGGGAAAGAGGTTCCTAAATTAAAGCAATCAATTGGGTTGATTTTGAATTTCAAAATTCGGAATTCAAATCCAATTAATTTGATTGCATGAATAAGGGAAATAATTTAGGAAACAATTAATGACTCATAAAAGGTTAGAATTTCAAATTTTAAATTCAAGAGGAGGGCGAAGGAGGCGGCAGCAGGGGAGGGGAGGGAGCGGCCACAGGTGGGCTGGCCGGTGGCTGCTGGTTGGGGCTGCAGGTCGACAGGTTGGGGTTGCAGGCCGGCGACTAGGCAATCCAGAGGGGGGGGGGCGGCAGTGAGCAAGAGAGGGGAAGAGGTAGGGAAAAATTTAGGGATTCAATGAGTGAATTCCAATCTCCCACAAATACTTCAACCCAAATCTCCGCGACGATGTAGCGATCAAGAGAAATAAAGGGAAAATAGTAGAACAAGAAAATCTAGAACTCACAAAGAGATCTAGTTTCTCCTACGAACTCAGTAAGAGATCGAGGAAGTTTGCACTCACAAAGAGAACATGAATTGTCAAAGTTTCATTCATCAAAACTAAACTATTACAATGCATGATGCCTCATATAAGAAGGCCAAATTAAACATAACTGAAATGACATAAACGCCCTTAGGGCTACATAAGTGAAACAATGCCCTCAAGGCAAACTAGGAAAACAAAAGAAAACACGCTCATAACATAAGATGCAAATAGATCAGAAATAGAGACTCTGGATCGTAGCTGTCGATCTGCGTCTCCGGCGATGGTACACGTGTCGAAATTTGATGTCCCCATCAATAACCTTACTAGTTTCTAAATATCATATTAAATTAAGGGAGAATTTCAGTGCATGTATATGTACTTCATACATGCATCAATGTTCAGTCGCAAAAGTATGCATACCCCACAAAAGATGAACGCAAATATACATTTACACCTAAAAAAACAAAAAAAACAGAAATGACTGCACCCATGCAAAATTTCAATGAGGCCGAACTTGATATATACCTGCAAATTGCAGTCCGCTCCAGCTGATAAAAGTAAATCAATGCATTGGTTTGCACCTCGGTTGAGAGCAACATGAAGTGGTGTTGTATTTTGAACATTCCTTATGTTGACATCAACACCTGTGTCGAGAATAATCTATGGCAATCAAAGGCAGGGTGCAGATTATTATCAGTTTCCAAGAGCTCAAAAAAAATTATACAAGCTACACAAATCATTTGTTACTTCTTTTTCAATGTGTGGATCTATACCTTTACCAGCTCTGCATCATTAACCATAGCAGCTATATGTAAGGCCGTTCGGCCATGCAGTTCATCTTGCGCTACTGGATCTGCGCCAGCAGCAAGTAATATTCTTACCAATTCTCGACCCTCTGCAAAACAACATTAAACACAATGCTTAGAAGAATGGATGCATATGGATACAATTTGTTTTGCAGATCTTTGGTTATCCTACCACATAATTTGTCCATAAGGTCAAATAACCTACCAATGAAAGATAAAAAATAACCACTTTAATCAGAATTTACAAATAATTAGGAAAACGAATCCCATAATATCAACTGCCTTTAATTGCTTATCACCTTATCAGTAACATTTGTCTGCAACTAAAAATATAAAATCAAGGATAAATTGAATTCAAAAAGCTTTGGTTGAATGGAAATTATAAGCAAATTAAACTGGTTTAAGCAAAAATACCTTTGTTAAATAATCCCATTACATCCATATTCATGTCTACTTCTAAAGAAATGCAGAGCATTCAAGTCAGGTCATAACCATGTTTTTGTGGACCCATGCTTCTTAAACTAACTTCTTCTATTTTTTCAAGCCGATCAAAGTTCAATTTACCACCAGCAAGCGATCAAGTGACACACTTGTTTGTGCCCTCCAATTGAGACAGAAAAAAGTTAAGACACTTAATTACAATTTGCATAATCAAAGATGAATGATAGAAAGATGAAAGGCTACAAATTAGAGTTCTAGAGAATTAATTACAATTTTTGTAATCAATATCATAAAAAAAGGTTTGAACAAAGCATGCAAACAGAGATTTTGCATGAGTAAAAAGCAACCCTAAGCAGTCTAAAAGGAGAGGAAGATAGTTGCATAAATAAATAAATAAATAAAACTCCTTTTCATAAACTAACTCAAACAAATCCCAACAACATAACCAAGCATGGGAGGGTTTTTGATAAGTAAAAAAGCTAATCCATTTGATTTTTATGGTTTTGATAGCATTTGTTAGGAAAGTGGTTATCATTTATGAAAAATCCCTTCTTTCATAAGCAGTCATCAAGATTTTCATTAGATTTACTCTATTTATATTAACAGACTATTATAGCTATAAATAGGGATATAAAAGACTCGAGCATCTGCTTGATAGAGCTAAGCTTGCTTGGTTATTACTGAGCTCGAACTTATTTACTAAGCACAAGCTCGGCTCATTAAAAAATTTATAGGTTCGAACTTGTTTGGATAGCTCAAGTTTGACTCGATTGTTGAGGTCAATTTCTTAGTTTTAAATTAAATTTTTGTTAGAATTTTTATTTTAAAAATAGAATTAATTTAAAAAAATTAAAATATATTATATAATATTAATTTAAATGAATTTTTAAATATATCTTAAGTTAATCGAGCGGCTTAATGAGCTCACGAGTCGAGCCGAGCCAAGATCGAGCTCAAGGTTGTTTAATATATGAGCTCGAACTCGTGGCTCGATAAGCTTGACTTGTGAGCTTGTTAACAAGTTAAGCTTGAGCCGGCTTGGCTCACTTACACCCCTAGCTATAAAATATAAAGAAGGGGCTTTTGTAATGGTTTGTCATGCATTCAATGAATCATTTCTTCAATAAGCAGGAATGATAATTTGCCATGCAGTTGAAGGAATTAAGTACAAGTCCAAAAAGAGAGGAAGCATCAAGAATTCATGCAATCAAAGTCAACGGAGTAGAAAAAAGCAAGGAAGAACCAAGGAGGTGATCTAAGCAAGAACAAAGGGCAAGCCATCTTCAGGAGTAGTCCATCTTAGTAAAGTTTCATTCAATAGTCTTGCTTGTGCATTTCAAATCTTTCCCCCTCAAGTACAATCTATCTAGTTCCAATTTTCATCTCTTCTCTCCATGCTTTGGATTTTGTTTGGCCAATTAAAATATAATAATGATAATTCCAAAGTAAGATTTTCCTATTGTAAGAGGTCCATTAATGTTTATTCGGTACTACTATTGTAAATCAAGGCTATCAGTATATAGTTTAGATATTTCATTTTGTGTTACAAGGATCAAACAATCATATGGAGCATACCAAACCGCTTTTATATCAAGGATTTGAGAGAAAGGGTTGTCAAACTCATTCTGCAATCCCAGATCACCATCATTCCAGCTTTCCAGTTTAATTAAGATTCCCAGGTAGTATTAGGCCATGCCCTTCTTAAACTAAGAATCATTTCAACCCAAAAACAGCAGATCATAAGAAAAAAATCACTTTCCATTAAACAAAGCATGCATAGAACTTGAAAACACAATCAGAGTTCCATCAGAATATTATAATTTATAACAAAATATTTATGCAAATTATATGCGCACACACACACACACTATATATATATTATATATATATATATATATATATATATATATATATCAATTTGCTAAACCGGACATACAAGAAATACAGGGATAAGCACAATACTGATCCAACCTACCAGCTTCACGGTCCTTTTTAAGAGCGGCAGCCATACACAATGCCGTTCCAGCAGGACTAGGAATGTCAATAGCTTCATCAATCTCTTCACGTGATGCAACTTCCACCCACCTTCTGACAACAGCCACATTCCATGACTCTATGCACAAGTGCAGAGGCCTGTTTCATTGTCAGAAGAAAAAGAATGCAAGCAAGTCAAACAAGTAAAAGATCTGAAGCTTCAACAAAAGAATCACTCAAACAATGGAAACTCTGACAAATATGCTATAAATATGCAGCGGATCACAAATTTTATTAAATCAAAGTGTGCAATCAGTCAATTCCATTTAGTTTAATCCATTGGATTGGCTGGACTGATCAATTTAGATTCTGTAAATTCCCAAAACGACCCAAATAAACTGTCTTCCAAAACTGAAAGAGAACATACAAACATTAATTAAATTCATTTGGTTTAATTTTTGAAAACTAAAATTTCACTATGCACATCAAACTTTGGGCTAGGCCCAGAAAATGTAGATTGTCTTCTCTAAAAACATCATGTATCATGGATTATTAACTAAGTTACAAAATTCTGGTCCAAAATCCATTGAATTAGAAATTTACAATCCAAACAAAGTAATTCTAGTTACCAGGCAGTTTAGTTTGCTTGACAAAGCTGAACCAAGAAATACAAAAATTTGTGCCAAAAATTGATAGATAAATATAGAACCAAAACAACTAAACTGACCAAATAGGATCACTTCAGTTTGTTTTCCAATCTCCATACATGCATAATTTATCATGGCAGCATCTTCAACATCTCATAAAGAAACTAGAGATCTTCTAGATTTCAGGTCATATTTGATGTATTCAGACAGGTAAACCAAAATGACATGCTTCTAGATTATCAAATACTATGAATATGACAACCAGCCATTAAAGAAGAAGTTTATGTGTTCAAATCATCAAAGTCTCCAAATAGAATCCATGTTGAATATTTTAGTAGAATAGAACACTATGGGGTCGCTATTTGGTGTTTTCATTGATCAGTTTTTTATCTTTTTATAATTATGTTCAAGACTTCAAAACATAGATTTAATCTGCAATTATTTAAAAATACTCCCTCAGGAAATGCGATTGCTTGCCTATTTCTAGCCACAAGAGTTTAAGATTTGTTTGCTGCTTTCAATTTATACTTCAGCCTCACTTACTGTAATTCCAATAAATCTACATCGTCCAGTATTGCCAATGCCCTCCATTAGGGTAAGTTTGCTTATTCATAAGTAAGAAGAAATGGCACTTCCCACTTTTAGAAGTGAAAATTGAGGATGTCACTTCTTAAAAGACTATTGGTTGGCCAGGGAATTGGCACTTTATATTTTTATTTTTCTGTTTAAGAGGCTAATAATCCTACTAAAGATACCATCATCTATGTAAATAGATATTATTATTCTACAAACACACATGCATGCATACTATTGTAATACGTAAAGATAGATATAAGAAAATAGTGCTCATAAAATATAATATACATGAAATTGAGTTATTATATTGATATAATTATATTATTTATTTACATGTAGACTGAACTTATGTGCATGTGCTTGAGTGAGTGGCATTACAATTTCTCATGAAATTAAGAGTACCACATTTAATGACTTTCATGACTACAGAGCATAAGAGATCAAAGTTAAAAAACTTTGTAATATACTCGTAACTTCCTAAGGAAGACATCACTTCCCACTTTCCACGCCAACTAGAGAGTTTAAGTGATCCACCTCCCCCATATTTTACTCTCCACTTTTTGCATGTAACCAAACAAATAGCTTTCTATAAGCAAAGGAATCTATCCTAGTTAACCTGTTACTATTTTCTTCCAAGCTGCCAGGACATCCATCCAAATGGAATTTAAGCCATGCTGTTTTCTCTCCATGGAAATTAAACTATTAGTAAATCATGTATTTCCTTCTCGGCTAATTCTCTAAAACAGCCACAACACTAAGCATGGTCTTCGTTGAGAACATTTTTTGTATTGTGGCTGTTCAGGACAAGTTATTGAGAAATGATGCAAAAGTTCAATTATGAATATATATTTTTTTTTCAGAGGCTATTTCAACTATAAGCAGCTAAAGTAACAAATTAACAAATAGAGAGAAAACACATAGGCTGCTCAAAAGAACAAAGGGGCGGGGGCTTACGTCTTTCTTTGGGAATTTAAAATACTCATGGATCTGCAACCTCCATTCTCCAATATGACTCTAGCACAATCGGAGTACCTCTTGGCAATAGCTCTATGCAGAACAGATTCACCTTCATCATCAACAGCATTGGGATCAGCTCCAGCCAACAACAACTCCTATTGAATTCAAACAAATTACAAGTTAGAAAGAGGTAATCAAATACTATAACATGACCCCATATTACACAATAAGTTAAAAAATCTTACACGCATACATTCTGGTTGACCATGAAAAGCACAAACATGAGCTATTGAAGGACCAAAACCTTCCCTAAGCCTATGAGTTACATTAGCAGATCTACTGATGAGAGCGCAAACACACTCATAAGAACCAGATGCTAACGCAAACACAAGGGGCGGATCACCATCTTTATCTAAAATATCCACATCGGCTTCTTTGTATGCCAAAATTGCTTCAACAAGTTCAGCAGAGCCCTGCTTGCACGCTAAATGCAAGGCAGTATGGCCATCAGCATTCTGTGACTCTAGTAAAGAACAAACTGCATTGCTATCACCTTTTGATGCTGCCCTTGAAAGAAATTCTCTAGAAAACAAACAACAATTTGAATCATCAAAAGAGATTGTGCATCTACCACAAACATGAATTTCAAAAAAAACTTACCTGACACCAGATAAGTCCCCTTCTGATACAAGTCTGTGTAAGATGTTAGGATTAACCTGAAAAACCTCTAATACAGATGTAGGGGATGGTTCTATAGCATTTGTTGAAGCAATCTTCATGACACTACTGCAATGGGGGGTAGGGTCAGGGACAAAGAAAGATCAGGGTAGATCACAGAAATGAACAGATTAACTACAACATGGGTTTCAAAGCAAGGAATAAGGGAAAAAACAGTAAACATCTAAACTAGAAAATCATTGGATAGCAACTAAATGCATCTAAAATGTTGTAATTTGATTATACATTGACATTCGTAGACAGAAATTAAATGAAGTTTTCAATATGATGACAAACACTTAAGATAGGCAAACACAAAGTAAACATTTGAATTTATCCTCCATGGTAGTTGAATAATAACAATTTGAAAATAAAATTATTGTATCATATTACATAATTGAACTCAAGCAAATTGTACAAACATCTCTTATACACTATTTGAAGATAATATAAAAATCAACATCATCATATCATGACCTTATCCCAACTAGTTAGTGTCAGCTACTTCTCCATTCATCCCTGTTAAGTGCCTTAACAAATATTAACTCTATTTTTACACAAAGAATGTTTCACAACTTCTAACTATGTTATGGTGATGTAAACATGTCCCTACTAAACCTTTTACATTATTCTACCTACAATTTCAGCAGTAAATCTTATAGCCTCCATTATGCATTCCAAGTCATCTAAATCTTTTTTTTTTTTACTATTATATTTTCAATAGTTGCTACTGAACATCTTTCTAATAATAACTAATCCTTAATTTATCCTTTCTCATTTTACTACATATCCATCTAACAATTTTCATTTTTATACATAAATTTGTTAACTTTTTTATTGCCTAATATTCATATTCATATAACATGATTTTGATATTATTCTTTAAAAAACATTAATATGCAACTAAACATGCTTAAAAATCTACTAATCATTACAATTTTAATAAGCACAATACAAGCTATAAGATGATGAGAATTAATCCAAAACATTCACCATCAGGCCTCTAGGGCATAATCTACAAAACAATAGGTTTAATTACAATCAAAATAAATAAATAAATAAATATAGTCTAACCACTTCGCAGCACATATAAAGGGCAATAAAGAAAAACGAACATGTAAAAACTGGAAAGTGAACGACAGACTGAAATTACTTCTCAGGACTAGGAGGTGGACTCCTAGGAATCCCTTGCAAGTGCCGAAGAAATATTGCTAACATTGCATGGAAAGTAGGTCTCTTTGAAGCTTTAAACTGCAGACACTCTCCAATCATCTTCCACAACTCCCTAGGAATTCCAACACCAACCACACTTGCATATTGTGGAGGCAAGCTCCTTGCTTTGACAACAGCACGATGAATTTCCTCTGAGCCCAAGCCAGACCATCTACATAAAGATTGTTACTCATACCATGGTGTTCACAATAAAATAAATTACTGAGAAAAAGTGAAGAATGAGACTTCACATACGGAACAAAACTAGTACACATTTCAACTAAGGTGCATCCAAAACTCCAAGCATCAGACTCCCCAGATACACTACCAACAGCATCATCCCAAAATAAATTCAACGACTTTTTCAGAGGTTCCCATGCCTCTGGAGCTGTGTAATGTGGACTTAACATTGTGCAATCCATGCATGAGTGCATCTTTAAAGAGCTTTCCTCAGGAAGAGATCGAGCTTTCTTGCAAGGTTTCTTCAGAATCTCAGGAAGCCCATAATCAGAAACCACTGCCCGCCCATTTGAATCCAATAGAAGATTTGATGGCTTCAAATTCATACAAATAACACCTGCTGCATGAAGTTCTGCCACACCACGTGCAATGTCTGCCCCATATCTACAAACCAAGATCCAGTTAGCTCGGATTTAAAAAGTTTTTTTTCTCAATATATAATGCACAAATAATACAATAATCAAAATTGTCCAGAAGCACAATCAACTAATGTACCCTTCCTAGCAGGTTGAAGCCCCACAAAAGAATTATATCAAATACAAGCTGAAGAACTTTACACTAGTCAACATAATAAGAAATTATACCAAGGAAAAATAGGAAAAGCCTTTATGAAGGGAAGGCAAGCACAATTAAAGTAAATTAATCATTTTTAACGACACAAATTCTCTTCAAGAAGAATTACTGTAGAAAGCATAACTGACTGTTCAGCTTCAACTTGCATAAAATGCAGAACGAAGTGGTTACTGCGTCAACCATTTTTCCTAAGAGAATAACATGTAATCCTTTCTCATGTTCTATTTTTCTGAAGTTTGAAATAATTAATTATGCAATGACACGCCATTAGCAGAAGTCAAACAGTTCTGGTCTATTACAATGCTATCATATGTTTCTTTAAGAAGAAGCTTCCCTTCTTTTCTGCCCCATGTTATGGAAGGGCCAGTCTTGATAGCTCAAAACTTATGAAACTGCTAATTTCTGATGATGAGATGTCTCCAAAGGCCCAACCACAAAAATCAACAAGATAATCATTTTTTTCTTTTTCTTTTTTTTTTTACAGAAGTAGACCATGCTTATCTAAACAAATCACAAAAATAAAATGCCACAAAATGAGGTGGCTGCTTCATATACATAAGAGGATATAAAGTCCAATGTTATCAGCATAAATAACGCGAAAGGAAACTTAGCATTAGAGTAGCCCAAATAAAATGGCTAAATAAGGGGGATAAGAAAACATTTCATATGTTAAAAATGGCATGCATAATCAACATATATAAATCCAAATCTGAGGATCTCTCAAATTATACATTATTTTTTTTCAATATCGCTTCCTGAGTAAGCTAACACTAAAGCACTTAGCAGATGAAAATATCTATGACCAATTCTGCAACTTCAGAACAGATAACAACCAAGTAACCCTTCTCTCCAAGATTTTTTTTCCCAAATGCCTCATGTTCATTCAGGCCTCCAAAAGTTACAAGAAAAATACTTCCCAAATTAAAAGTTAATGACAACAAAAGGCAAGACAACTCTCAAAAGATACAGCTTTCCTTAATAAAAGAAAGTACCTGAGAATTTCAGTCTTAAGCCCCTAGACTCTGCCCAACAGCATCAAATTTTGATAAAGGGTACGAAAAAATAAGAATATATTGTTTTGGCGCGTTATTTGAGAAAGTAAATAGAAGTTAAGAACCTTAGAATCTGTTCCAACGTTAGCCTCCCTTTGTTCTGTTGCATCTCAGCTAGAACAGAGCTGTTGTATCTATCCATGATGAGAGAGAGATACCCATCAGAACGGAGTGCTCCATGGAATGTGCAAACATTCCTACACCACATTGAGGCACGCCTCAAGCTATCCAGCCTGGTCTGCACCCAAACGACATCCATATCATCCGTTATTGGCACCCTCTTTACCGCAACCTGGTGCCTGCACCGCCCACCAGAACCAGAAGGAGCACCACTGGAAACAGACGAGCTGCCATAGAGCACTGCAGACCAAGTCTCCTGCCCAGTCCTGCCTTCTCCTAGCAGGCGCAGTAGTTTGAGGTCATGGTGCGAGCTAAGGTCAATGGGACTACATGAAGCGCCCGCGGAGCTCGAGCAGCATCCAGAAACCGAAGGGCGGGATAGTCGGCCACGGCGGCGACGGCTGCGAGAGCCGAAGTAGTCATCATCGTCCTCGCTGTCAGCAGGCTCGTCGTCCTCCGTCGCGGCAGCGACACTAGCGTCTTCTCCGTCAGTGAAGTCGCACTCAAACGACGGGGAAGATGGGGATGAAGAGAGCAGGGAAAGGATAGGGAAATTCTTTCGGAGGGCATGAACGCTGTTCCCGACGACGGTCGGGTGACGGCAACGAGGGCAAGAGAGGGTGGTGTCCGTTGAAGCCGCGAACATGCGGGAGAGGCACGATTTACAGAATCCATGCCCGCAGTTGAGAAGTAACGGTACTCGCTCCTCCTCGTTGTACCTCAAGTGACAAACCGAACAGCACGGCACCTTCATTGCAAGGGTTTTGACAGTGATAAATAGAGAAAAGGCCTGAAATCCTAAGCCCTAATCCCTAGATTCAGATAATAGATGGGAAAATGGGAAGGAAGAGTGCGATGGCATCGGATTGGTAGCTGGAGGGTTTCAGATCCAGAACAGAGAAGAAAAGGGGAGCATTGCGCCCAGGGAAAGGGGACGAGGGTAATAAGTTTTGATTCGGAGTAAAAATTTTGAGCTTTTGGAGCTCTAGTAGAAGGAAGGCTCGGAAGATGGGGTAAGATAGCAACTCTCTCTCTCTCTCTCTCGCTCGCTTGCTATCTCTCTCTATCTTTTCTTTGTCGAGTTGCTTTTGTGAGTTTTCTCCGTCGACCTCCGCCCACCTTTTCTTCCGCTGCGGGCATTTTCGTATATCAGGCTTTTTTAATTTCTCAGTTTTTAGTCCAAATCATCTTCTGCAAATTTTCGATCCGGTTCAGCAACGATAATTCTGGTTGAACCGGACCGGAGACGCGTGTCCACTTTCCTGGGGGTCAGCGGGCAGTGGGCCATGAATTTGGTCCTTTTTGCCAAAAAATGTTTGAGCATTTTTTTTTTTTTGGGTAAAATTGGGGGCAAAGCCCATTCTATTAAAAGAAAAGGATTACAGCATTTTTTATTTAACTATGATCTTTTAGCTTCAAAATTGGGCGTGTAATTTTTTCGAACTTATGGCCTATTTAGTTGAAGCTAGGACTTAATTTAAATAAAATTTTATTAATTTAATTGAATTGAATTTATTAAAATTTTAAATTATATAAAATTATTTGAAGATATTATTCAGGATTTAAGATAATTAAATCATATGATATTTATGTTTTAAAGGAGTTACTTATTTATTTCAATTTTAATTAATAAGCTATAATTATAAATAATATAAATATAAGTTAATTTAACTATCCAATAGCTTAATTTATGATTTATTTAGTAATTATAATATTAATTATCAAATTATTTATTTAGGTGTTATTTTAATAAGTATTATAATATTAATTGTAATGATAATTGTCTAATTAATAATTTAATTATTATTTAAAATAACTAATTATTTAATTTTATTTACACTATTAACTATTTCATTATTTTTAAGTGGTTTTTTAATATGTTTTTAATTGCTAATTATTCTTATAACTATCTAATTAATTAGATAAGTAAGAAAAGGTGAAAGGAGTTGGAAAAGTAGGACCCTTTTCTCTGTTATTGATGCATATTTCTATAATTTCTCCTCATCCTATAGCCCTAGGCCCATCTAGGTTTGCTTTACTTCATGGTGTTTTGACTTCTACTTTGCTTAGAGTGATGCGGCGGGAATCACAAGATTTTACTTATGTTTATAGTCACTAATCAAATATCATATGGTAGTTTAATTTTTTCTAAGTATAAATTTTATTTAAAACACAAGCTCACATTATCGTATCAAGTAATAAAGTGATGAATAGCGTGTCGATCTCACAAGAAAGCATTAAAAGCATCTTACATTTTCTTTATTATTGCTTACAGGATTGTTATGTTTGTCTAATAAGCTTATAGAAATTGTGTCTGCAAATTAAAAATAAACCGTTCAAAATGTAGAAATAAAAGTTTTCTAATGTTTATAAACAATGAACTTATTAATACTTAAAAGTACATGTTTGCATTATAGAGGGGTATTCCTATGGTGATTGTAGATCGAAGCAATTATGCTCATCGTCTCTACCAAGCTTGTAGGAACATAAGATAGGATACTCACTCTCCATTATAACTCACACACACTTACACACTCTCACAAAATGACACTACAAATGACTCCTCTAAGTGGCTTCTTTTTATAAGGAATAAATAAGGTGCCTATTTAAAGTTATTCTTTTTTTTTTTTTAAACTAGCGCTACGACTTTGGCTTGGTGCCATTATGACATTGGCTTGGTGGCCCTACTGAACTCGTGCATTTGTTCACCAATGATCACTTTGATTCACTGATCCAACTGTCTTCCACTATAGCATTGAGATATTTGACACTACTGGCTTCGATATAGTGCTGCAGTGTTGATTGGATAGCTTAATAGTACTAAGCTCTATAGCAGATTTTTGTTAAGCTCTCCACTATGATGTTGATGTGTGTGTTTGTCTAAAAAAGTAGTTTAAAACGTTTTCTTTAGTGGAATTTAATTTTTTGAATTTTAGTTTTGAAATCGAATATGTCATTATGAATGATATATCACCTCGGGAAGTGAAAATACCATTATCTAATGAGTTCATATTATAAAATTGTAGGTTTATCTTGATTATCGTAGGCAAATTTAGGGAAGAACCACATATGACCCCAGAGAGTCATAATGATATTTGATGTAATATTTAACTATGATAATCTGAATAAATGATCATTAATTTCATAATCAAAATTATTATAATAAAATGATATATCTTCCCAAAGAAAGAAGATATCATTCATTATCAATCATTTGAATATGACAATAATGATTGTCGTTAATTTTAATTTTCTCAAAGAAAGTTAATTGAGTTTTTTTTTAATGTGATTTTAAAACTGATCTGTATTTTTTAAATCTCCTACAAGCATAAGCCCTCGTAGTTAATTATATCATAGGAAACCTAAGTTTCCTACAAAGACTCTCAATTAAAATAACTATAAAATTTTCATTTTAAGTGTTCAAAGATTGATATCAAATGAGTAACATTTGAATTTCAAATGAGATTGGATCAAATTTTGAACACTTATTCTGGAGGTCAAAAGATGAAAGGTAGGAGGTATTTTAGGATTCTAAAAAATTTAAGTAAACACCCTAGCCTACCCTATAGGCTTGGATTTAAATTTTGGATTGAAGAGAGTTAATTTGAGTTGATCAATTTATTAGAATAGTATTATTATATTTCTGGAATATGATGACTTAAGATTTGGAATCCACCTCAGAACTTAGATCTAAATTGGGCACTAAAAGATAGTGGCTCGAACCTAGCTAATGTGGTGCAAATGTGGTATCCCAACCTAGATTAGGGAGTCAACTAACCACCAAAGCACTTAAAATCCATGAGTCTGATTTTTTATGAATGAGTGATAGGGATGCTATTTGATTAAGTTTATGGAATTGAGGCTGACATTTAGAGCATATCCTAATTAGCCCCTTAACACATGTAGGGTGATTTGATACTTGAAACTAAAGTGTAATTAATATTTTAGACACTTTTAATTTTTTTTTAATAAAATGTGTGCTAATTGACTAAATGAATTCATAAATTGAATATAAAGTATTTTTAAAATTAGTCTTAAAAATAAATTTTATCCTAGAGATTATACAATATCCCCTAGAGAGAACTGCACCATAATAGGTCAAATAGTCTCCTAGAACCCACAAACATGGATGTGCCTAATAAGGAGGAGAAGAATTCAATATGATTGCATGAGAAACTCTCGGTGATCTTGAACTTACTTCTTAAAATGTTAGAGTTTCTATGTGAGTTTAAAATTTTTAATTTATTTGAGTAGAATTTTTTGCATACCCTCATGAGCCTTCAATTATTCCAGACTAAATAAAAAATGACATGCAATAAAAAATAGAAAAGTATGTTATTTCTACTATATAATTAATGTATATAAGTAAATAAAATTAATTAATTAAATTTAATATTCATATGGTAAGTGCCACTTAATATTATAACCTAGGATCTGTAGAAATTAAAAATGATCAGGTACCACTGATAACAACCCGAATTCTACTCCTAAGACTACCTAAACTGATTTTGAGTGTGAGATTCCTCTATATCTTCACTCCTTCGTCCTTTTACAAGCTTTTTAAATTCGTCAGGTCTGAATATCTAAATGAAAGAAACTCCTCCCCGAAGAGGTATTTTTTTCTCTTTAGATATTTGAAATCATGTTAACTTCGATATCCAAATGGAAGGGAATTCTTCCCTAAGGGATTTTTCCTCCACTTTAGATTCTAAGTTAGATGTGTATCCCACCCCAAATGTTGCTTGTACACTACAACACTTGACTTGAATTAAAATACATTAAAATTTCAAAAATTAAAAGGCTGCAGATCACCTCCAAGGTTATCCTAAGCATTTATAATTAAAATTGACATCCCAAGATTTTAAATATATGTTCTTAAATTAAATTTAGAGCCATACTTGGTCATGCTTTTTTTTTTAAAATTAAAAGGAGGACTTAGCAACTATAGCACCTATAAAAAAAACTTATTAACTAAAAGTTTAATTTTTACCCCCCTTTTATTTAGCCCTGTATGAGCATGGCCTCATGTAGTAGATCATGTTAGTATCTAGATTGGTAATAACCTAAAGGTAATTTAATGCCCATCAAATCAATTCATAGATTGTATGTAATTAATATTTAAATAAACATTTAAATCACTTAATTTTAGTAAACACCGCCCTAACTTAAAATTAAAACTACCATAGTAAAAAATTTAAAGTATATTACATAGGTTGTGTGGTTTGGATATATCCTATAACTAGTAGTTTATTAAAGTTGTTTATAACTTTGATTGGTTGAAAGACTTAAGGGATTTTAATTTGAATTTTAGTATTAATGTCTTAATGTTGATTTTAAAGATGTATTTTAAATGTTAATTGATTACTATATTTATTTACACTAGGGCTGTAAAATTTATTTCACATTTCTTGTGACTAATTTAATAGCCTAGTAGGTCTGGATTACCTAGTAATAACTAGTATTAATTAAGTGACTTAATTGGTTAAGATTTAAGAGTTAATAATTTTTAATTAAACCAATTGATTGCTGGTTTTAAAGATTGGTTTCATATTTTATGGAATTTCAAGTCAATTTAAATTTTTTTTTAAAATTAGTTATGGTTTTTTAAAGTTTGACTATTTAATTGAAATTTTATATTATTTAATTAAGGAAGATTTTAAGGATTTTGATCAAACTTGATTCCAAACTTCTCGAAATCACTCCCAAAGGTCAGAAGTGATATAAGGAAGTGTTCTCAAGTGCTTGGTAATTTTTTGAAATTTATAATTATTTTTAATTAATTGAACTAATTTAATATTAATTTTTATTAAAATTTAAATTAAGCTTAAAAATTGAAATTCAGTCAAGGGGCATTTAAATTTTCTAAGTTAAGAGTTAAATTATGGTCAGATGATATTTTTTTATATTTTTGTTATTTCATTTTAATTTATTGTGCTTTTTGAAGTTTGAAGCTTAATTAATAAATTATTTTTTAGTTAATTAAATAATTGACCAATGATTTTTAAAATCAATGGGAATTTTCCATAAGTTAAAGCATGTCTTAAGTATTTTATATTTTATCTCTAATAGATGAACATTTAATTTTCTAGGAATTTTCTTAAATTTATAAGTTGAGTCCTTAATTTTTGTCTCTAAGTGAGAAAAA